CAAAGTCAAAAATGATCATGAGGGCCAAAGAGATAGTTCAGTGGTCTAAGTGCCTGCCTGTCAAGCGCAAGGACCTGAGTTTGATCCCAGTACTGCATACTGTGTTCTCCACTGAAACCAGGTGTGGTGGTACATTCCTGTAATCCCAGTGCTCAGGAGGCTAAGACAAGAGGGTCACTGCAAGTTTGAACTGTAGCAAGATCCTATACCAAATACATAAATAAAAAAAAAAAAAAAAATCATGAAAGCAAATGTTTTTTAACTAATTCAGGACAACAAGTCACCCACAGCAGTGGGTGACCCTTCTTCAGGAAGTGTCAAAAACAAAGACGTGTGCCTGAAGTGAGTGGTGGTATTTGGAGGGGAATTAATCGCAGTGTTTTTTACTGTGAATTATTTTTTTAACCACTCTGTCTACTTTTGATTACACCTCCTATCTTGCATAGTTTCTTGTATATAACTATCACTACTTGTAGAGAAAACTTACAATGCAGCTTCATCTACAGAGGAAGAGAAAATGTGCCTGTAGTAAGCAGATCGTCGTCCCTTCTGGTTTTTCAGGGACTTGAATTTCCAGAGAAGTTGTGACGTTAAGGCAGCCTCTCTGAGCAAATGCCCTGCAGCCTTCACTGAAGCTCCGAACAAGGGGCTGCTTGAGCTGGTTTTCCACCTTGGGGATTTGCCTAGCTTTGGCTCAAGTGCAGAAGCTAAAGGCATGGCTGTGCTCCTGTGTAACTTGGAACTCTCAAGTGTACTTACAGTCCAATGCAAAGTGGAGTCTTGGATCAGGCATAGGTTTTAATCAGACCCCCAAGAACTATAAAACAGTAAAAAACAAAACAAAACAAACAAACAAACAAAAAAAAAACTATAAAATGGTCTGGCTACACAGGTCCCCAAGATATTGTATTGTTATCTGCACCCACACTTGTGATGCTGAACTGGAATTAAAACAGGTTTTGAGATGTGCGTCATGGGTCATGTCTCTAGTCCCAGCTACTGAGAAGGCTGAGGAAGGAAGATTGCCTTAGCTCAGGTGTTCCGGGTCAGCTTGGGAAACACAGCAAGACCTCCCTGTCATAAATAAACAGGCTTCGGTATTGGACACTGAGAAGAAAGTTTACCCTTCAGTAAAAAATACAAAGGCTATGCTCAATCTCCCCTCAGCTTTCCTAAATTCTCCTCTACCAGTAATCCAGCACTACAACTTCAGACATTGGCACAATACCTTAAAGAAGGAAGTCCAATCATTTGTTGCCTTTGAAATTCCTTTAAAAATGCTGGATTGATACTTGCATCTCTGCTGATATTGTTTCTTATACGAAGAAACTGATTAGGCTTATTCCTGCATTCTTTTAACAGAATGCGGAAACCATTTGCATTGTAAGTTAAGTATCCAAGAGCACAAGAGCATGCTGTACGAACCTAAATGAAAGAAACAATTCTTAATGAGTTTTGTTCTTAAAAGTGTCTAACCAGTACTTCATAGGCAAGTCTGTAGGTAGGTAAAACACACGTGTGTGTAAACTGATTGCTATTTTTAGATGGGAAATTAACAGCCAAGTCTTTTAGAGATGACTGGCCACCACCATTTATATGTTGTAGTTTGCAATCTTGACGGCATTTTAGAATCACCTGGAGTATTAAGGAGGTGTCCATCAATTAACTCTGAATCAATGTTGCGGTTTATTTTTAATGCACAACCAAGGTATGAATCTTTAAAATTTAACCTTTGAAATTTCAACCTTGGCTGTGCATTAACATCACCTGCGTAACTTTGACCATTACACCTGGGTCCCAACTCTAGAAATTCACTTAATTAATCTAGGATGCAGGCTGGGCTTGAGGGTTTTTCAGAACTGCTCAGGTGATTGTCAGCAGAATCTAGGAAAGAGACAAGAGGCCAAACAAGAAAGCACTGTTTTTCTCTGAACAACAAAGAAGCTCAGGTATGAGGCCATCAGACTCTAGAAAAAGTATTCATTGTTTAAAGGAAGTAACTCTTTGCCTGTGACTCAAGTAATCAGGTTGTTCATATGATGTACACTCCTGGGAAGATAGTTGGAGAGCTGGTAGCATAAACAGTTCCATAAAGTGAACAAAACACAAGGCTCATGCCTGGTACCAAAAAGCTGACGTTAGTCTTTGGCATCCAGCTGCCCTGTGTGCCCATGCATTTTCCAGGCCTTGATCTTGTGGCTCTGTTTTCATTGCGTGGCTCATGGATTAACATTGTCAGCTGCTGGGAGTTTATTAGAGATGCAGCATCTGGGACCCACCTCTGATGCATTGAGTCTGGAATTCTGAGAAGGGGGCCAACAATCAGTGATATAAATCTTTCAGGTAATTCTGGTACTCCCTAAAGTTGGAGAGTACTGCTCTCTCTCTAAAGAGAAGAGTGGGTGAATAGTCAGAAGCAAACCATTGCCATGGCTAACATGATCCCTCTCACATACCCTCACCTCAATCCTGCTCAGCAGGCCAAGAAAACCGACCTGTGGATTCTACTTTCATTTCTTCCAGACCATAGAAAAAATATTTTAGTGAGATCACCAAGTAACTAATTTTTATAAGATACTTTTATTTATTTTTGTATTTCTGTATTTATTTTTTATGTATTTAGTACAGGGTCTTACTACACAGATTGGACTCATAGTGATCCTCCTATTTTTAGCCTCCCAAGTGCTGGGATTACAGGCATGCGCCACCAGGCCCAGTCTCAGTTGCTGTCTCAGCGTGCCCCAGGGGCGGGGTCCACATGGCACAGTGGGGATGAAACCCTGGTCCCTGCGCCTGCTTAAGTATGTGCTTTAGTCCACTGAGCTATCTGGCTGGCCCTGTCAGGCACTTAATAAATACTTGCATTATAAACTTTTTATATTATCAATGTATTTATTCCTGCGAGGAACCTACTGTAGCATTAAGATGATTTATTTTGCACTTTTCCTTGTTTTTTGCTATTAATTCTGAGGCTAATTTGAGCAGATATTTTTAAACCTTCAGTTACAGTTAGTTGTTGTACTGCTTTTGTAATTAACATCCTGTTTAAGTCTTGGTGTTAAAACTTTCTAGGAATCAGAATGGCGAATGGCCAGTTTGATGACTTAGCTCTAGAAAGGTCATTAATTTTGCGATAAGAACACAAACTATATTATGTGATAGGCAACCAGAGGAAAACTTCTATAGTGAGATATGTGGAGAGTCAGGGTTATTTTCCCATCGTTTCTTTAAAGGTTATACTGCATCAGATGTAAAAGGACAAGAAAACAATGAAGACTAGAAGGAAAAAATGGAAACAAAGCTTTTGTGAATAAGGAGAAGAGGTTGAAGGGAGGAGAGAAGAGAGGGGTGAAAAAGCAGCAAGAGGTATCATGTACAGTACACATTTGGTACTATATCTAAAATATACCAATAAAATGAAGTAAAAGCAACTTCATTTTATATCTAAAATGTACCAATAAAATGAAATAAAAGCAAAAAGTAATGCTACCATGCAGTTGTGATTAACCTGGAGTACAACATTAACTTCCCACCTTGTAAAGTCTGCATGAAAACCACCTACGTCACTAGATATTGAATCACTTGCCATATTTCTTCCCCATCTGAATATAATATAAAAAGTCCCTTTTAAGTACAAACATAGTTTATTCTAATGCCATTATCTGTCCATGAATTTTATCCAGAAAGAAGATTGTTTCTAACAAAGCCAAGAGCACTGCCTCCTGTTGAACAAAATTTTATCAGTCTTCAAACAACACCTGGCTATCCTGACAACCGAGAAACCACGACCTCATGGCGTATCCCTGGAATGACATTAAAGTCAAATATAAAATCCCACCCTTCCCCCTGACTTGCCCACCACTCTTACACGGGATCCATAAACTCTCCCCTTCTCGGTACTCCTTGACTACTGCTAAATTATTTTTACCAGCTGCACCAGCCTCTCACATACTATATTTTCCTATTTTTTAGTATATTCAATTTTAAAATTCGTTTTGTTTTTTACCTCTTCTCTTCCTGAGTACAAGTGGTAGCAGAGTCGCTGAATTGTCCCTAATGTAATAAATGCTTCTGGGATGCCAGCTCTCGAGTGAGCCAGGCTAGCTATTAAATTTCCTATAGATCAAACAAGAAAACATGACTGCGTCATTTACATGATAAATCCATCTGCCATACTTTTGTTAATCGGTATATAGCTGTACATCGCTGGTATATGAAGAAGTGTATATGTATGTAAATGCAAATGAACTTTCCCCAAAATTATGGTTTGGTTTTCTGCACAAATACTAAAAATTAAACATATTTTAAGAGTAGAATTCTTTTTGTACGCCAGAGGTTTTCTTCCTTCCATGGCTTCAGATATATTTTTGAGAGTTTTTAAAAAATGACAATGAAATTAATAATTGAATGTCATAAGAAAATTCAGTATGTTCTTTTTGCAATTTGAATGGCTTTAAGACCTTAATGAAATTATAGAGCCAATGAATGTACTGCTTATTTAAACTTAAAATCATTGAAGTTCTAACTATGAAATAGTATTTGGGGACTAAAAATGGCAGAGTGACTCAGTAATTAAAATAACTGTCTATCAACACTATTTCATTCATATTGATATTTTAAAATTTAAATGTGTTTCTACAGCTGTGGGTGGATACTATATTTAGATACAAACCAAGTTTTGTTCTCTTACACATTTCCTGGCCTCTAGTAGAAGCCAAGGAATTCTTCCTTAGCTGGAGAAGCCTGGGTTGTAGAGAAAGCAAAAGTTGCCTAAAGCTAACCTATCTGCGAAGTTGAAAAGCTGCCTTTAAATCCCAGAAGTTCTAGCTGGGAAGTGAGACCCAGGAACAGATGGAGGGGGTGGAGAAGGTAGGAAGGAAGGCCTTAGTTTTCCAGTGCTCAGAGGAGGAGGAGGAGGAACGTTAGAGAAGAGCTATACACACAGAGGAAAACTTGACAGGTTGGTCAGAGAAATCCCAGTCTCTGCAGAACTTCTGTGCCTTTGTTTATTACTACTTTAAAGAGAAAAAACTACAAACAGTGAAACAGGTTATTGGGATGATTCCAATAGTTGATACATTAGTTTGTTACAGTTTGAGCTTCATAGCAGGTTAGTAGGACAGTTACATAGCTGATGCCTTGCCTGCTGTTGCCTTCCGTTAGTTAATCAGAGTACAAGATGCAGGTGTGGTATGTGTTTGAACATTATCGGCACACAGCATTCTTTTCAGGAACTAAGAGAACCCAGCTGTAAAGCTCTTAACTGTCTTGCGTACATCTATGTTTTTTTCTTTTTCCCTTTCTTCCTTTATCCTTCCCACCCCCCATCACCAGACAGAGAAGCGTGAGCACGAATCTTCCACTGCTGGTATACATTAGTTTGTCTTTTCTTTTGCACGTTTTTTCCCCTAGTTCACAATATCTGCAAAACCTCCATGCCTTTGGCGCCTGTTCTGGGAATTGTGTCAGCTGGGGCACAGTTGTATCGGTTGTCTTACACTGCTCCCAAGGCCTGATTGTCCTGGATTTAATTACTTTCTAGTAATTTCTTGTAGACATAGTTTCTTTAGTTTTCATCAAAAACTTTTCATTTGCTTAACTTTTTTCCTTGCCATGAAAATATGCCCCCAAATGATGTAACCTTATGGTGCAGGTGGAGCTTCTTTTATTCCTATCATGGGTGTATTTCAGTTGAGAAAAGGAGTGTTTATTTATTTATTTATTTATGTATTAGTTACCCACTGTTGATATCCCAGAAGTTCTATCTGGGAATCAGATAGTTCTATCGCTGTCTCAGCATGCCCCAGGAGTGGGGCCAGCACAGCAGGCCTGGGGACCGAACCCCCGGTCCCTGCACCTGCTTGCAGGTGTTTTAATCTGCTGAGCTATTTGGCTGGCCCTCTGACTGTCCTTCTGATGCTCTTTTATGTTCCCTTGGGAGTGGTATGTCAAGATACATGAACACCACTAGTCACCTTTGTGTGAGCCAGCCTGGCCTAGATAAAGTTACAGAATTAACATTGTGTCAGGAACTCTGTGGAACCATTTAGCTTTGCTGTGTGCCACAGAAGACACCTAAATACTAGCCAAATGTGCCTGGCTGGACAAAAGTAAATCAGACAGAGAAGCATGAGCACAAACCTTCCCCTGCTGGGATATATTACTGTGCGTATCTTGGTGGTGGTTCTCATAGGAGAATACTCATTTTATAGCCTGGGAAAAAAACAATTAGAGGTTTGAAAATGTCATTAGAAAAGTAAAAAAGTCCATGTCCAGAGTTAACTGCTGCTTTCAGGGTTCAGGGTGGATGTCCATTGTTAATACAGACTGACTGAAGGTCTACATAGATTAACATGAGTTCATTGTGGGACACGGGGCCTGACTTATTATTTCTCCTATTGCTCAAATCACAAAAATAAGTTTGGAAATGGTTTTGTGTGTGTGCAACCAGCACTAGTCATTTCTCACCTGTCAAGACAATAGTAGTATGCTGATAGGAGTACAGACTGTTCACTAAAATAGTGACGCCTCTTGCAGACAAAGTAATGTGGTCCACGTCTATGATGACTTTAGCTAACACAATAATCTAAAAGCAAAAAGATACATAGAATCACTGAACATTTCCTCCTCATCTTCTCTAAACTGTCATTTGTTGAAGAATATTCTTAGGTATTTGATAGGACCCAATAAAAGAGAAGCATGTGGTATAACAGAGAGGCGTTGGAGCACTTGCCCCTAACCAGTCAGAACAGTGACCATAATAGGTTGTATATTCTTCCTACAATGATTGCATATTTTGCATCCATGAGGTGTATGTTCATAGAAAGTACTTCTAAAAGTTAAAGGACAGAAAATGAAGAGAGAATAAAACTAAGAAGCCAAGTAATGTACTCATGATAGGGTTGAAGAATCCACATGATCAGCTAGTGATGCACAGTTAGAAAACCTGTCTTGGACACTGCTGTGTTTCTCTAGCTCTTTCCTTCTGATACAGGCCCTTACAGTAGGGTCAGCTGCCCATCGAGCCCACAGGGTTGTTACGAGCATCAGATGAGGTGTCAAGGCAAACGTTTGCTGGGACTTGTTGAATTCTACATGAGTGAAAAAATTCTCCTAGTTAATGGAGTTTTATGAAGTAGTAGAGGGGCTAATGTACAAAATACTAAATTTTACAGATCTGAAAACATCTTACTGGTTTATTTTTAATTTTTCACTGACAATACACTTATGAACTTGAAGTGTTAACTTCTGATTTTTTACCTGAAATGCTGCCATTGCCTTCTCAGTTTCAACTGTTGATTCAAGAAAAGGTTCAAAAATAGATATGGTGATTTTTCCACTTTCCAATATTAAAAATTGTTGAAAGCGATTATTGAAGGCAAAAAGGGTTAATGCGTAGGCTGCTCTTAAGCAAATATCCTAGAAATAGGAAAAATGTGTATTTTGTTTAGCTTGCTTCATTTATCATGTTAGATAAAATATTAGGTTTGAAATTCTTGCCCATTAAAATATATTTCATTCTATTCTTGGGAGTAAAATTCAACATTATTGAGGAAAACTAGTAAGAGAATTACCCCAGAATGTTACTGAACAGATAAAATGAACAGAGAAGTAGGTTGTGGTGGGAAGAAAAAGAGAAAACATGGTAATTTTCCAAGAAAATATTACTGTATTGAGTATGCAAATGAATAATCATTTAGCTAAAAAGAAACAGTTCCATCAACCTTCAACTTATTGTTGCAATATATTTTTATTTTCATTTGAAGATTTCAAAGTAGAGTGAACAAAAATAAAACTTCCCTTCCCTTGTATCAAACATTCCATTGCATAATCCAATCATGAAATGCAGGATTATGTTGTCTCTTTAAATAAGTTCTTTTGTAAAATTCAAATATGCTATATTCTACAGAGGAAGAGCAGAAAAACTATTCACTGTTGAGGACCACATTTTAACATTCTTAGGGTGAGCAAACTGCACTTTCTCTCTTTGAGGCAGTCGGCTTGCCTATGCCATTCATGTCTTAATATTAAAAATAATTCATATTAACATTTTTGTCTTACTATATGTATGACAGAGATGGCTCAGTAATTTTAGTGAATTTTTCTTTTTGCCACTATCAATCATTACATTAAGATGCTCTATGTGGATACTGAAGTAAAAGTAAGTGGATACACAGATAAGTTTGGCTGTGAGTTGATAATTACCGAAACTGTGCCAGGGGATGTTTAAGTCTGCTATAGTATTTTCTCTTCCTATAAAATGAATGTGTGCTTGAAAATTTCCATAGTAATAATTACACATGCATGCATGCACGCGCGCGCACGCACATGCACACACACACAGAGTCATGGGGCAACAGGTGAGAGGAAAGGTGTTAGGGACCATCAGTGAACTAAGGTTCAGCCATGGACCAAGCACAGGCTAACCGACTGGGAAACAGAACCTGGAGCCAACAAAGTAAAAAATGATGAGAAATGAGCCAAGGGCCACGCCTTGCATATTCGGGTCAAGAACAGGGGAGAGAGAGAAGGATGCTCGGAGCTGACCCATCTCCAGTTCTTTTCCATCTGGGTTTTGCTGCCTTTTTCCTGGAAATCTACAGTAGACAGGGCAGTTCAGTTTATGAGGTGTCTTGTCAGTTACATCCCAAAGTAAATCCCAACAGCGTGACTACTACTTCTATGCTGCCAGCGAGTATCAGGCATAAGACAAGAACAAAATCAGCTGCTTCCAGTCAGGAGGGCCAAATATTAACCCTCTAGGAGGAACGTAGTTTTCCGTAATTTTTTCCTGATGATCAACTATCAATGCTCTACTTCCTTCATTCTTTCATCCACCCACCTTCCCTTGGGTGGTTATGTCCCCTGGTTGCTGATTTTCCCTTTATATCCACTATATCTCTGAATGGGAGAAGAGTGCCTGATATTTATGCTTGCTAACATTTTTTTCAAAATTATATTAATAATTACTTTTAAACTATGCATTGTAAATATGTAAGATAAATTAACAACAGGACTAATTTTATATGTATCCTTTAATATTTTAGTTTTACAATATGAAAAATTATAATTTACATACACAAAATCAGGGCTGAGGGTATAGCTTAGAGGTAGACCACTTGCCTAGCTTGCATCTATGTAAGGCCCTGGGCTCAATTCCCTATGCTGAAAAAATAAGTAACAAAAATATATTGCATTTTCTATGAAAAATACATATTACCATAAATAATATATAAAATATGCATCATAACCCTTACAAACTAGTGACCTGCAGAAAGATTGTTTATATTTCTTTTCTCAAATAATACATTTGATTATTGCCATGAAAGAGCTTTGATGATACTTGGAGAGTGTGGCCTAAACACTAACTACTTCTAGATGAACTTGAATATTTTGTAAAGGTTTTACCTTATCAGTTGAGTGCAGAAGATAGAGGACATCAGAATATTTAAACCCTTCATTTTCTTGTAATTCTTTCTGTAGTTCATCATTCCCGAGAACAATGCATGCCAAGGAAAATGCCACTTCAACCTAAATATGTGGTTTGCAGAAATTATTTGTCCTTCATTGGATAAACATTTACACAGGATGTATTATAGAAACATACTGTAAAATCTGCTGAAATATAATACAACCACTCTAGCTCTCTGGCACTTAAAGAGTAACACAACTTCTGAAGGAAGAGCTCATGATTTTTATCTCTGGGAAATAACCTTCCCTTCTGCTTGCTGGGGTCACCTCAGTGCCTGCTGAGGAAACAGAGGAGGCCACTGTGGTTAGCAGGGCGTTAAAGGGAGTCTCATGCCCTTATACCTCAGGGTACAGTTGCATTCCTTCCACATCTAAAAAAATGTGTTTAAATGTTTTCTGGAATGGTTTATAAAGCTGAAATTGCCTGTCAGCTACAGATCATCAAGCTGTACAATTTTAATGAACACATACTAATTTAAATAAAGCTTTACAGAAATAAAAAATATTTTTTTCCTCAAGATTTGGAGTCATTAGCATACACTCCGAAGCCCAGTAGAATGTGAGCTTTGTATATTATTGGGACTCAGATGAGTCTTTAAGCTACACTAAGGCTGGGGAGATGGCTCAGTGGAATAAGTGCTTCCCTGGTAAGCGCAAGGGCCTGAGTTCAATCCCCGGTTCTGCAAAAAAAAAAAAATTAATTAATAAAAAATAAAAACAAAATTTAAAAGTGCTATACTATGTGTTTCCATGAAAACTGTTAAGAATAAAAACATGATTACTTAATTATTGTGAAATATTGGGTCCATTATATAATTGTATGTTGAGGAAAGTATTGAAAATATATTGAAGCATTCAAATATAGATGGGTGCAGGAAACTGCTTCTCCATGAAAATGCACATTTTAAAATAAAATGTATTTTTGTGGCACTTTCCCATAGTTTCAAGAAACTTACTTGTACACAGAAGGTCAATGTAGTTTTTAATTATAATTCAAGCCACAATACTGCTGGCGCACACGCGCATGTATGTATTTATCCAGGGATCGAACTCTAGACCTTCAGCATGCCAGTCAGGTGCTTATGCCACTGAGCTTTCTCCCTTTTTGTTTGTTTTTCTTTTTTCGTGTGCTGGCATGTTTCTTCCTTGTATTTCTCTAATGATCTTTTAATAATTTTTTTGTGTCCAAAAGGTACACAACTTAGGGCATCTTTTCATAAAAAAAGAAATTCTAGGGCTGGGTAGATAGCTTGGCCATCTAAGCACCTGCCTGGCAAGCACAGGGACCTGGGTTCAATTCCTTGAAACCTGGGGTTCACCATGCCAACCACCGAAACAGGGTGTGGTGGTGCACATCTATAATCCCAGTAGTGGGGAGGCTGAGACATGAGGATCATTACGAATCCAAGCTGCATGGTGAAGCCCTGTACCGAAAACATAAAGAAAAATAAAAGATTACATTTTAAACAACCATATCCAGTAGAATCAACATTGCTGTTTGCTTACATCTTTTTCACCTGTGTTGTTTCTATTCCATCACCTCTAGCACATCCAATACCAAATTTTGAGAGGAAAATGGATTTTTGGTTATGTTTTTTTGCCATAAAATTTACTATGTTTATATGATGAGTTTCTAAAGCCTTGGTGAAACGATTTGAGTTGATGGAAATATCATCTTATCCAGGGCATTTTACGAGAGGTAAATGGAAGAGTGCAAAACTTTTTGGCGACCTGCAGTCATTCTCACCGTATCCCGCTGTAATGAACCCACAGCGACCCGCCAACATAGGCTGCTTGCAGGGCAGCGGGGCTGCTTAAATGGCTCTGTACTTGTGGTATGCACTTGTACTTGAGAAATGCCAGTGTAGGGTAATCACCCTCCCTGCCCGACCCAACCTTATCAGTCACTATGGGAGGAAGCGGAGAAGATTGTCTGCAAATATGTAATTAAATAGCCAAAGAAAAACTTTCTTTGAAGAGTAAGGGCAATGGCTGGGGAAGTGGCTCAGTGGTCTAAGTGCCTGCCTGGCAAGCTCAAGGACCCAGGGTTCGATCCTCAATACTGCATGTTGTGTCCGTCCCATGCTGTGCCAGCCATCAAAACCAGGTATGATGATGCATCCCCTGTAATCCCAGCACTGGGGAGGCTGAGACAGGAGCATCACTACGAGTCTGAGCTGCAGAGTGAGACCTTGTATCAAATAAATAGATAATTAAATAATTAAAAAACAAGACTTTGTTGTCATATTTGAAGGAATCACATTTTAAATAAAAATTTACTGTGTTTATAGTTGGTAGCAACTGTTTTTGTTTAAGACAAAAGGTTTTAGTAAAATCTTCAAATGTTAAATGTTTATGTTTGGGAGCTTATATTAAGATACAAATTATTCTTAAAATGATCTGTCTATTACTTTTACTATATTAGAAACATTTACACCTTGATGTATACCTTAATGTTAGGCGAAGGGTGTTCTCTCAGTAGCTGCATAAGTACCGGAAAGGCATTTTCATCCACAATGAAGTGTTGGCTAATGGGATTACTTGTGTGGGCAACACCTACAAGAAGCTACGCGTCAGTGAGCTAGACTTTTAACTTTATACGTGGTAAAGTCAAACATAGCTTGATTATTGGTTCATAGACTGTCTTAAGGTAATGTCATAAGTAAAGTACAAAAGTAGATGCTACATTGGCACTATTTTAAGAGTTCTCTATTAATTTTTAAGAGGCACAGTGATTAAACATAGAGACTATTATTAGAATTATGAATGGCTTTCTAATACACAGCAAACAAATTAGAAAGATCCCATATTATCAAGGAATGCAAGAATAGTACCATTTATTAAGGTATTTATAGTTATTTCCCTCAAAAAGCTGATTTTTGCAAAAATGACTGATGTGAATCACTACATTACGTGCACTAAAAAGACAATCATACTGCCTCCCAGTAGAGCATGCTACCTTAAATCTCAAGCCTAATTTCAGTAGGTAGCTCTGGTCATCTCTTCTTAGCAGTTATATGCAAACAATTTTAATTCTGTGTGGGTTTTTGCCAATTAATGTCATGATACTCACAGATATGTTTATTTATTTGAATAAACTACATTAGGCTCAGAGAGGCCATCCACACATTGTTCTCTAGGGAAGTCCGGATAGGAGCAGAGAACGTTTCTATTTCCTTTCCCTTCTCCACCCCGCATGGATATGGACAGATTAACTAAGGAGAAAAACTGTGTGGTGTGTGAAAACTGTGAGTGTGTATGTGTATATTTTTTTTCTAGCATTTTATAAGTACTTACATTTTATACCAGAGTCTGGCAAAAAAGTAAACAAACACTGTCTTCTGTGGCTGATTTTTTTAATCAGGAGAGTGAATTTTGGTTTTGAAAAGAGTGGGTCAATTTTGAGTAGCTGACCTAACCTTACTTAATAAATTTACATTGACCTCTTGGGATTATGTCTTGATTACACACTTTTATTTTTAAAATTGGTATTGGGGATCAAACTCAGGACCTTGTACTTGTGAGGTAGGCACTTATGCCACTGAGCTATCTCCCTCGCAGTCATGAATATCAGGACTAAGTTCTCACAAGCAAGAAGAAAAGTTTTGGAGCTGATCCCTATGATCCTCATTCATCTAGAGTACTTTTGAGGAAATACAGTGACCTAGAAATGAGTCTTCTTGCTTGTAGGAAACAGTCTGTAACCTGTCCTCTGCATTCATAAAGGTTAGAAAAGAACCCAGATATTTATATTAT